CCCCCCCCCTCTCCTCGTCGATGCGCTGGGGTCGCCCGGTGGCCAACCGGGCGGAACGACCGGCCAGACGGCCCGGCCCCCCACCCGGGTGCCGGGCGGCCCGGAGTTCAGCACTGGTAATTTCTGATTTCTAATTAATTGACAAATCGTTTTTCTTTTTCCTCAACAACAAAAAACTTGTGGGCCTGTTCTGTTACCTGTGGATATGTGCCCTCATCTGACCTTTTTTTTTTTTTTTTTTTTTTTTTTTTGAAAGAACAGAACCTCATGGTTCTGGCTCCTACCATTCTGGGGAGCAACAGTCCGGTTCCTTTCCCCCGGCAGGTTAATAGGAGATGCATAAGAGACACACGCACGCTCCCCCCCATTATGGCTGGGAGGCCTGAGTGGACGGCATTGATTACTTCCCTGAGGAAGGATGTACCACCCCTCACCCCTGCCTAAGTTAGCCTTTACTATCTCAGTTTGCCAAACCATCTGATGCCAGTTCTGCTCCTCTCAGTTTTGAAACTGCCGTATAGGTGTGTTTTACCAGAGTGTTCTGGGATACGTATGATTCCCTTGAAAGGATTTCAAATCTAAACCCTATTAGTCTAGCTTCTTTTTTTTTTTTTTTTTTTTTGGCAGAGGGGCGTGTGCTAAGAGCCATTGCATGCTTCGAATCCTAGCCGGTCTAATGGTTAGGAATTTTGTCCACGGGATGGATATGGGGGCCGAGGGGTCCAGTCTCAGTATCTCCCTCCATTTGCCTTTGAGTCTGGGATCTGGGTCTGTGGTTTGTAGGCCCAGCTCGTAACCGAATTTGACATCGTATTCGGCTATTGGTCTCGGCCTCCCTGACTTTCCCTGTTTCCATATCCATTCTTTCGGGTTGAATTCTAGCTCTGAGATGCTGAGGTCCGGTTGGAAGATTTTCCAGGGTTCGGACTTTGATACCCTCACTTTTCTCATTCGGAAGGTCTCGAGCATGTCGCACTGGGGGTCGCTGTTCTGGAACTCCATTTCATTTGTGCTGTGTTTGGCTACGGGGTAGGAATAGAACTTGGATAGGTAGCCGGGTGGGCTTGTTCTAGCGACGAATCTGTATGCTCTGGTTGGCTGGGCTTGGGAGACTAGTATGCCCCAGTCCCCGGATTTCCACAAGAAGTCCTCTCTTAGGAGGGGGAGCCATTGTGTTGGGATGCTATTTTGGATCAGCGTTAGGTTATCGGAGAGGGCGTGGCAGCCTTTTAATGTGTTGCGTAGTTCCTGATACGTTGCCCACCGTCCTATTAGTCTAGCTTCTGTATAAGTCCTAAACTCTAAAACCTCGGTTACCCTTTTTCTACTGCCTATACTTTCCCTCTACGGCCTAATTCTAGGAATAAGTTGAGCCTCCCTTCTCGTCCCCTGTATCCCCTAGTACCTATTTCCCTTCTATCCCCTCCTCCCTACCCTGCCACTTTCTTCTGGTTGTCTCCATCCCCGATCCTTTGCTTCCGCTCCAATTCTTATCCATAGTTTTCTTTCCCAGAATAACGTATTCCTGCTTTCCTCTTTTGCGCCCACTCTTGTGTCTCAGTAGGTACGGTCCTGTTCCAGGTTTTCTGGT